AAAAATTTCTTTTGTAGAGGGCTCTTGGGATAATTAGATTTTACTGAAGAAAAAAACAAAACCAGAGGACAGCCAAAGATATTTTAATTCTAAAGATACCCTTACTGCTGTGCACTGGGTTCTGATTTATCATCCGGTAGGACAGGGTAGAACCGCCCGTCTCTCTGAGCAGCTGGTGAGTTTGGACTGCTCACCGATCACTTTGAACTGCTGACGGCTTTGGTTATTAGCAGCCCGATGCTTGACCCACTGCCCCACCTGTACATAGAAATAAAGAATACTGTTTTCACAATTCATTTTGCGTTGTCCTATTTGTGTGAAATTTGAACATTTGAAATAAATTAAGATTTATTGCTTTGTTTGTCAGTGAGAGGCTTCCCATGACCCTACAAAGTTCATAGTTTATCCTTGATTCATAGCAAACCTACCTACACATGAGAAAACACCACAGACCACAGGGCCCTGTGCCACGGCAACAGTCATTGTTGTGTGTGAGCCCTGTACAAAGCATCGCTTATTTATAAAATCTAAATGTATGTGACAGATAATACAGAATTAACAATTTAACTTTGTCTCCTACTGATCTTAACATTTTTGAAAGGTATGTAGGAGTATTGGCAAAATAGTACACTCTCAATGGGGATGCATTAAATTTTATGTCACTGTAGTACAGATCTAAGGAGCCCTGGTGTAATGGTTACATATTGGGCCACAAACCACAGGGTCAGCAGTTTGAAACCACCAGCTTCTTCTTGGGAAAAAGATGACTTACCCTTTAAAAAAAAATTATTGAGACTATTACAGATAACATTCCATAGTTCATTACATCAAGAAGTATTGTATAGTTGCTACCACAGTCAGTTTCAAAACATTTTCTTTCTTCTTGAACTCCTAAATATCAGCACCCCTTTATCCCCTCCCTCTGCCAGGAACCCTTATGTGTCTGTCTATCAATCTATCTATCTACTTATCTATTCCCCCTTATTACACCATCCAGTATATCCATTCACATACAATTCTGTTTTCACTCCCCTCGTGTGTGGTTATACAGTCATCAATACTATCAGCTTCCCCTTCTCTCCCCACTTCCTGTTCCCTCGGGGACCCATTATTCCTGTTACTCTTTCTGAACGGTTATCTATCTTGGCTTTCATGTATCGAAAGATCTTAATTATACAAATGAACATACACAAGTCTAACATGATAAATGAGGCAAAACAAATACCATAATAGTCGGGGTAACTAGAGGATAGTTATGTGTTTCATCAGTGCTCTACTGCACCCTAGATTTATCCTTTCCTTGTGGCCCTTTTGAGAGGGACTGCCTAATTATCTTGCAGGTAGGTTTGGAGTCTCCACTACATACCCACCCCTTCGCATCAATTTGGTTGTTTTTGAACTTCTGATACCTTTTCCCATCAAGACCTCATGATCACAAAGGCTGGTGTGCTTCTTCCATGTGGACTTTGTTGCTTCCCTGCTAGATGGTCGTTTGTTTGACTACAAGCCTTTAGGACCTCAGACACTATCTTAATCATCATCAGCTTTCTTCACGACATTTTCTTATGCACCCATTTTGTCTTCCGCGATCATGTCAGGAAGGTGAGTATCATCCAGGCCACATTATTAGAACAAACTGTTCTTGTACTGAGGTAAGTTCTAAGTAGAGGCCCAAAGTCCTGCTTCCTTGTTCCATTTGAATTTATGTATATATAGAAACAAATATATTTAAATATTGATATAGTTACATATAAATATATATATGTGTGTGTGTGTAGCGTCTTTTTCTTTTTTCTTTTCTCCTGCCTCACTATCGTGTTTATCCATCGTTTAATTCTCAGTAATTCCTCTCAGATACAAGTCTGTTGATCAAACGACCAGAAAAGCTACAACCTCCTCACCATCAATTTTAGAACCCTTACTATTTCCTGGTACTCATCATTGTTGGCTCCCCCACTCACCTCCCTCACCCCACCCTCCTGCCCTATCATGCCCCCAGGAACTGCTGAGAGTTATTGCCTGGGGAACCCCAGAGAGGCAGTTCTATGGCTCTGAGTTGGAATTGACTCAGTGGCAGTAAATTTGGTTTGTTTTTGGTTATCTATAGACCTAAGAATCCCTAATGGTGCTGTGGGTTAAACAATGAGCTGCTAACCTGAAGGTTGGTAGTTCAAGTTCCTCCCCAGCCTACCACAGGAGAAAGATTAGTCAATCTTGAAATTCTCTGTGGGGTTGCTAAGAGTTGCAGTCAACTTGATAGCAGTGGGTTTTCAATGTATTACCTAATTTTATGATTTATAGTACCATTGGACTTTTAGGTTTTTATCTCTAAAGTGATACTTGGCATTGCTTCAGATTTTAGCTTTTTTAGTCCCAGAAAAAATTGAGTTTTGCCTTATATAAATTTGATGAAATTAGATAAGCCAAATTATGCGATATATCTTAGTTGCTTGATATGCATATTTCATAATTGACTGTAAAATTCCAAGCCAGAACTCAACCCTAGAGGATTAGGCATAACCTATAGTGAATTAGAAAAAGAGCCCATCCAAGTCCCTATGACTTAGAATTTAAGGCATATGGGGTTCAGTAACCTAGTAGACATTTCAAAACCTTCAGATCAGATTCTAGTGGATTAAAGAGTTGAGAGCCACTACCTGAAATTAGACTTTCCTATTCATTATACAAGTGATATAGGCTAAGTAGACATTTCTGTAATCCTATACAAGAAAGCCAAACATGAGCATTTATCCAATACAACACAGATCTAAGCCAGCACCAAATCATCCCTTCATGACCACTACCTGCCTTCCCTTGTGCCATTGCAACTGAGTTTATAGCTGCTTTCCTTATAGTCTCTTCTTTATTGTCCATCTAAATGATTCTCCACTCCCCTTCTAGAACCTTCCAGGAGCTGTGTAAGCCTGTCTGGCCTCACATCAACTGCATTCTTCCTTCCCATGGTTCT